ATATTCCCTTAAGTAATACTTTACATATCAATTTTCACAAATCAATTTTCTACAAAGACCTTCCTTGATCCCATTTCTATTTTCAGTCTGTGCTACCTCTTTAGTAATGAGTTTATTATCTCTTGTGGATACTTCACTTCCATATTTCAATGGCTGTGTAAACTTTAATTTTCAAAATACCCACTAGAGTACACTATAATTTGAAATACATGCTTAATTCATCCACTTTTTCTTTTTCTTATGCCTACCTTTCTTGTTGAAAGGATTTGAAATTCCAGTTTGTTTTATGTAGAAAATGGTATTCTTTCCTCATTCATATCCAGGACTCATTCCTCTATGCCATTCTTTAGGATGGAGAGCAAATAAGAAAAATTTGTGTACATATGCATAAAAATAGAGATAGTAATTTTGCTTATGAACAACAAATGTTTCATTACCACACTCACATGATGAGCATTATGTTGCACTTACTGTGACAATATCATATGAAGGTTTTGTGTAGAGATAGCATATCAGATATTCTTTTGCTTAATTTCCACTACATTTTATAATAAATAGGCTTCTTAAATGAAAATACCGATAATATTTGGTACCCTACTAAAAATCACATATAAGTGTAATGTCCTATCCTATCAGTTCTGAAAAACTATGCTGACAGTACTTCTGAATGCATACCTCTTCAGCATTTCCTGAACTCAGTGCTTTAACTTGGCTTTGTTAATATATAAGTCATTCTTTCACTCTAATAGTCCTTCTAATAATCTACCTAATAGTCCAATCCCTTGGGTGTCTTTAAGAAAAGAAAAAGGATTTTTATTTTACAGAGAAAGAAAGGATATTTTACAGAGAGAGAAAGGATATTTTACCGAAAGACAATCGATATTTTATTGATCTCTTCTTATCCTGTTTTGAGTGTTTTCTTCTTTTCATTTAGTGCCTTCTGAAGTTCAGTTATAAATAATTGAACACAATTTTAATATTAACTTCAAGTTTATACATTTGAAAATAATTTGTCTTTAACCCCTGTAATATGATTTGTGCATCTGCATATCTCTAGCATGTTTAGATCCCTAAATTAATTGTCTTTAAAATAATTGATTTTGGTAGCTTGAATGTTGAACTTTTACTTAGATTATAACATGAATTTAAGAATGTGAATGTTAATTATTCCTTAAGTAGTATAGTTGTTTTTAAATTATAACAATGTGATACATTAAAACTTGCTGGCTTTCTTCCCCCTACATTGTTATTACCATTAATCAGTTGGATAAGGGGATGTCATTTTGAAATACAATGTCCTTCCCTTTCCAAACCAATATCAATAAGTGTTATCATTTCACTTTCATACATGTACATGTACATAAAATATTTTGAAAACATTCACTTTTCTTTACCCTCTCTGTTTATCCTACACTTTCGACTAGTACCCATATCCTAACAAGATGTTAGGATGTTTGACATTCTTGTTGTTTGTTATATTTTTAGTGTATGTTAATTTTCCAAGGGGATTTCACCAGGGTATTTCACACACGCATATACAGTACTTCCAAAAGATTGACCTCTGTCTTCACTCACATGTTCTCCATCACCACTACCACCAATTATTCAACAGCTCTCAGTGAGATTCATTTCTCTGTCTTCCTTCCCAGATGCAATGTATTTCATCCTTGTTCACTCACTAACATTCTCTTTTATTTTCTACATTTAGTCCACAATAATAAACATGCTGCATAGACTTAGATGAAATCAGTATGAAGGTCCCTTAAAAACTAAAACAAGAACCATAATATATCAGTGATACCATTCTTAAGCACACATTTGAAGAAATGTAAACCAGAATACAATAAAGGCATTTATATACTCATGTTTATTGCAGTGCTGTTCACAACAGCTAAGTCTTGGAAACAGCTAAGCCTTGGAAACAGCCTGGATGCCTACAAATGATGGCTGGAGCAAGCAAATGTGAGCGCTCTCTCTCTCTCTCTCTCTCTCTCTCTCTGTTACCCAGCCCTTAAAGAAGAGTGAAATTATGGAATTTACAGGGAAATGGGTGGATCTAAAATCTCCATATTAAGGAAAATTAGGTCTGGAAGACAAAGATCATGTGTTTTCTTTTATATGTGGATGATAGACGTTTAAGGAGGCAGACATCTTTCTTAGACTGAAGGTAACGGTCTTTTTACATCTAGCATGTACATATGAATACTTGGTGGTTTGTTCTTCTTACAACAAACATTTTTCTAGGGCAAAAGAGATGATGGGTTTCCCTGTATATCCAGATACAAACTTACCTGGTTCAGAGCATTTTTGTGTGTGTGTGTGGAAAAAAATAAAACAAGCCTACGCTCTTTAGGTCACTAAATTCAGAAATATTTGTCACTTGAGAGAAGATAAGAACTAGAAGATTACTTTTGTTCTTGATGAGAGGCATAGTTTCCCTCTCGAAGTTTCACAGAACACACTGAAAGGTGTGTGAAACTACCCGATATGGCCGATTCCCACACCATTCCATGGAGTCACAAGGACCCCAACAGCCAATGACCATGGGCTTTACACAGGCCAATGTCTGCTCCACAGATGACATGACTGGAGAGCTTTAAGCAAGAGTGGAAAGGAATGCTGTCATCTGTCTGTCCCCTCTGAGAAAGCCAAGCTACAGGCTGTTTGGCCATGATGCTTCTAAAAGAATGTGATTTATCTTCTACTTCCCTTGTAGTAAGAAGCAACACTGTAGGCACGAACTGTGGTGAAGGTGCTGGCAGCCTGGGAGGAATTTGGATATGTGATTCTCATTCCAGTGTTCTCATGTGACCTGACTTGCATTCTCCGTTTAGTTACATCTTGACCTGGAAACCGGCTGCGGTGGGTTGTCTCTCTTTCTTGAGCTTACCTTGTTCATGAGCTCTTCTCTCCGTCCTCTGTTCCTACTCCATGCAGCCTCAGCTTCCTCTTCCTTGCAGCCTAATAGAGACTTTCACTAGATGTCTATTCACATCCTGATTTCTGGAATATGGACTTTACTTCCAGGGAAGAAAATGTCTTTGAGTGCTTGAAATAAATAGAAAGATATGCACTCCAAAGCAGCCTAAGCGACCTTTCAGTCTCTTGGCCTGAGAGGATTGATTATTCAAAGCCTTACATTTTAAAGAATTCTCCAGCAAGCAACATAGGAAAGAACAGTCCCCATATCCTTCTGGTTTTCTCTCTCCTCTCTCTCTATCAAACAACTAATTTTTCTGCATGAAATAATAAGACGAGCCTGGGGTGACCTGTTTTATAATTTTTTTCCCCCTTCCATGCCTCCCTCCCCCCTTCTTTTTCCCTTGCGGTAGAAAAGTGCTGAAGAAAGAGGGCACTAGTGCACAGCCCAGATCGCATCCTTGCACTGTCTGCCTGCGAACTGAAGGCGGCTGCAGTCCTCTGACCCGGGAACCACAGCTCCAGTCTCCCCCGGACTCAGGTATGTCTCAGCTCCATCCCTCCCAACTCAGGTGAGCCGACACCTTCCCGCTACAAAACCTACTCTCCATAGCACACGGTGCTAATCTCTGGGAATATTTTTTCTCTCCTGGACCCGGGTGCATCTTTGCTTATTTATTCCTTTATTTATTTATTTAAACCTGCATGCCTAGGAAGCCTTAGGAGCGGTGTGTTGCCCGAGTTGACTTCCTTGTCTTTCTTTCCTGGACTCTGGGGCTCTGACTGGCTGCCTGCTCCCGGGGAACCTCTTCCTTGCTTTGATTCTCACCTTGAGAAAGGAATCTGGGGAGGGACGGGAGAAGGAGGCAACTTCAGCCCAGGGGGGAGGCTAACACTTAGCGCCCGTGCTCTAGAAGCGATTGTGTTGGAATACATTCCTGCAGATGAGCTGCCAGGCAGAGAGAGTAAGTGGGGAGAGAAAGAGGTGGGAAGGGGAGGGGAGGCGCTGTGTATGTGTGTGTGTGTGTGTGTGTGTGTGTGTGTGTAATGCATTTCCACGTGTGTATGTGTGTGTGCGTGTAAAGAACGAGAATGAGGAAGGTTGAAAAAGAAAATGGTGAAGAAGTGGAGGGGAGGAGGTGGTCTCGGAATTGCAATACTCTGGTGAAAGCATCTCGGGCAGGCCCCGCGGGGTGCCTTGACCGGCTGGATGGAGCGCTGTCCAGGGTCCTGAGCGCCGCGTGCCCCAGGCTGCAATCTGTGAGAGCTACCCCAGAGCTACCCCTCTGTTCCCTTCCGAGCAACTGGGCAAGACGGAAAGACTTCCCCCTAATACAGACGAATTTGGGAGAAACCCCATCTCCTTCACCCCCGCCCCCTCACGAACAAGTTATCTTATTTTCACCTCTTCTCCTTGAACCCTTAAAGCAAGTCATCTGATTTCTTAGAGGGGTAAATAGAACAAACCCCAGCACACGGAAATTAAAACAACAACAACAACAAAAAACAAAAACAGGCGTTGCCTTAGTAACTAATATGGATTTTTCACAAGCTGGAAGATTTATATTTACTACTTGTATGTCAGGGTCTCCTTAGCCTCTCAAAGTTAAAGCAAATAGTGCATGTCTTTTGTCTTTGTACATTTTTAAAGTGCCGCTTCCTCACAACCATTACAACGGAGTTTCCAAGTTGTCTTCTGGGGGAGAGGGGAGAGAGGGGGAGTTGATCCGGAAAGTTGTCTTAAGGTTGAAGGACTTGGCTCCTCCTCAACTCTGTTCTTCCTTCCTCACCCCTCCCCCAAATCAGAGAGCTTGGCAAGACTGGAGAGAGATTGGAGGGTGGAGGAGGGAGCAGGTCGCTGCCTGGCTTTGCCCCGCAAGGCAAAACCCAAGAGAGTGCTGGCCACAGGAATGGCTCACCCCTACTTTCCTCACTGACCAGAGCGGTAGTTCCCCTGTTTCCTCCCTGATAGCTGATGTATTGAAGTGAAATGCACAGAGCAACACTTAGCATAGTTTAAGCACAGGTTGTGTGATGACCAGGTTTGTTTTTCTCACTCTTTTTTTTTTTTTAATCAACAACATCCAGCTCCCTGCAGCCAACACTCGACTTCCATGGTACACTTGGTCAATCTACCTTGATGCATCCTTGAAGAACCAGGGCTTGAATTCCTCTTAAAAGAAAAAAGCTGCCCCTCCCCACTCAAGGCTTGAGAACCGTGGTGGAGGACCAGGAGGAGGAGGTGGAGGAGGGAAAAGAGGAGGGAAGGAGATCAAGCTTCAAGAGGCAGCATCCTTGTGCATCTTGGTGGTGTGAGACCAGCACAGGCTGCGAACTCGTCCTCACCACAATGGTCCGGCTCCTCCTGTTTTTCTTCCCAGCTATCCTGTTAGAGATGACTCTTTTCCCCAGAAGCCCCGAGAAGAAAGTGTTGCTGGCCGGTGCCTCCTCTCAGCGCTCTGTGGCCAGGATGGATGGAGATGTCATCATCGGAGCCCTCTTCTCTGTCCATCACCAGCCTCCTGCAGACAAGGTGCCTGAAAGGAAGTGTGGAGAGATCAGGGAGCAATATGGCATTCAGCGGGTGGAGGCTATGTTCCACACGTTGGATAAGATCAACGCGGACCCTGTCCTCCTGCCCAACATCACCCTGGGGAGTGAGATCCGGGACTCCTGCTGGCACTCTTCCGTGGCTCTGGAGCAGAGCATTGAGTTCATCAGAGATTCTCTGATTTCCATTAGAGATGAGAAGGATGGGCTCAACCGCTGCCTGCCTGATGGTCAGACCCTCCCCCCGGGCAGGACTAAGAAACCTATTGCAGGAGTGATCGGCCCAGGCTCCAGCTCCGTAGCCATCCAAGTCCAGAACCTTCTCCAACTGTTCGACATCCCCCAGATCGCGTATTCCGCCACTAGCATCGACCTGAGTGACAAAACTTTGTACAAATACTTCCTGAGGGTTGTCCCTTCTGACACTTTACAGGCCAGGGCGATGCTTGACATAGTCAAGCGTTACAATTGGACCTATGTCTCTGCAGTCCACACGGAAGGTAGGCATTGTAATTGGGGAAAGAAAAGTACCCAGGAAGCCAGGGCGTTGCATGGTGTACTTCTGGGATCATAGTAATAGAGTTTCTGTTCATTCCTAGCCTCGTGGGATACAAGTCTTTCTATCCTTGTCCGTACATACCCACCCAGGCATTGCCTTTTTAATGCTCATTCCCTTATAATGGTTGGTTGGGAAATCTGGTATTTCTGGGAGGAGGAGGAGCCGAAAATCTTCTTGCCTGGTGTCCGGCTGTAGATTGAACTGTCATAATGCTTTCCCTCATATTCTGAGTTTGTGTTCGTAGGTTCATTGGCTCAAACTATTATATTTCCCCTCAGGGACTGGTCAGGAAGATCCAAGTTTAACTTGCTAATCCAGGTTGAGTGATTAAAAAAAGAAACAAAAAAAATCACTGGTTCTAATATGTACGTGAAATGTGAACTTGAAAGCTTTACTTTGTCCTGAACATGGGAGGTGTGTTTTTTGCCCTCTAGTGCCCCTTGTTGACATGTAAACTTCCCTAGGAATGTGGGATTGGTGTCATCTCCAGCAGAAGGACAGACACTTATTTTTAATTTTAGGGTGCCTTAGAAACAAAGGAAATAATTTACCCTATTTTTTCTCAGTTTATATGCTAAGACTATCCAGATTTTCTCAGTTCTTCCCAAATTATCCTGCTTTATGGAAATAGCACTGAGGACCTCTTGGATTTGAGTCTGTGTGTGTGTGTGTGTGTGTGTGTGTGTGTTGACTGTTCAGAATTCCAAGTGAGACCAATTATAAATGACCAATAGAAGATATCGAATGTCAAGTTTAAAATGGCTTTAAAAAAAGAACTAGCAGATTGACCCAAGATTAAAAGCTTTGGTTTTTCCCCCCTCAAGATTATTACAGATGTGAATTCTCAAAGAATTTCTTACATAAGGGTTTGCTTTATCTCTTCACCTTAGCCTATATGTATTTTTAGATAAATGAGATATTTGAGTTCATTTATTTTTAACTTCCCTAGCAGGTTTTTAAGGAAACCAAGATCTTGGTTGCAAATGAACATCTTGGATAATGCACACTTACATGTGGAAGACAATCCTGGGGGTATTGCTACATTCATGTTGTTTTTTTTTAATAGACTTATTGAAAGGTCATAGACATGGAGTCATTTAAAACTGTTTAAACAGTATTCTGTGAGGCCTGATTATAAAAAAAATTAAGAAACATTTTTACTGAAGTGATTAGATGGTTATCATTATTTCACATATAAAGAGAACAGAGTTTTCAAAACAAACTCAAGCAATATAGAATTATACATTATAATTCAAGTCTTTGCTTTTGAGTAACAAAAATCCTTTTAATGCAATATTGTGACTTTCACCACCAGACTCTTGTTTCTGAATCTTGAATTTCAGTTATGATTTGGATACTTCTTTCTAAAAACAAACTCATTATTTTTAAGATACAAATATAGTTCTTTACATTTTAATGTTTAATGTTAATTTGCTACATTTTAATATTTAATATAGTTTCTTCTAGTACTTGGCTGAAACACTCTGAAAGCACAAGTCAAAGTGTATGAAAAACCAACACTCAACAGAGATCTTGAAATGGAATTAGAAAGATATGGGTTTAATATAGCTTACTTAACTATGTCATATTTCTTCCCTTATTTATCTAGGTATTATTGATATTGGATGTATACATTCTTTATTTTAATATAATACTCATCATCCATGTTCTATTGTAGGGCATTTTATTTGCAGGAATGGAAGGAATAGAAGAGTCTTCTCTCAAATCTGTTTGTCAATTGTATTCCCGTGCTAACCACAATTGATAATAGGGATGGTTTTCTGACAATAGAATAATATATTTGAAAGTTTAATTATGCTTGGGCTTACTGATTATACTACAGAAGCACACACACATGCATGCGTGTGTGTGTGTGTATGTGTGTGTGTGTAAATACTTGGATTACTTTCTTTTCTGTCTTCTAATTGGTGTATAGCAGAGACAGTGTCCCTATACTACTCCATCAATGAATCCCAGATTGGATTGTGTTTATAGAATAGCATCCTAGCTATTCTTGGTTTTATCTTATCACAGGAGATTGCATCATTCACTCTGCCATTTATATCTGTTATCTTGTTTCTTTTTTTAAAGTCAATTAGTTCCTACTCTTAGTTAACACATTATCTGTGAAAACTAAGTTGCTTTTCCTTCTTTCTATCTGCAAAGGAATTTTGTGTAAGTTCCAACCAAAAATTTATTTATTTTTTTGAAATCTCTGCTCTCTGCTTCTCAGGGAACCCTGGTATAGTGGCCTACAGGCCCTCTCTTGGATCACTTAGTAATTTTCCTGCCTTCAAACTATGGGGTCACCTACTGTTGACAGTTTCCTGTCAAATAGCAGCTCAGAGCACATATCAATGTTGTCACTACCATCTGGGCCCTCCTCAGACAGGAAGACAGTTTGTCTGAAAATTGGCAATTTGAAGCATAAGAACTCTGCCACCTCCAGTGACCTTCACCTCACCTTTCCAAAGCAGCCACTCCCTGGTCTATTTGCCACCACCATTTCTTTATATAGAAACCAACCTAGTGTAGTTGATATAAAAAATGAGTTATTGTACCCTCATTTCTGTTGTTAATTTTGGTGACTTTAAAGTCATAGATGCGCATCTATTCTTTGAACATCTTAATCATTTTATATGGTCTTATCATTCTCTTTTACATCGAAGTAAGCTTTGAGATAGTTTCTGCTTTTATAAACCGACAAAATTTTATCATTATATTCTTTGGAATTAACAGTCCTCTGTCTCATCATTTGTGCCACTCCTGTCTTTTCTTTGACCACATGCCTCGCAGTTTACCTGACATAAGAGAATGATTGCACATAAAGTTTCTGCAGTAGGTGCTAGAAATAGTTCATAGTTGTTTTCTGAAATAAAGGTTGAGGGGATCTGACAAGGGAGAAAGCTATGGAAGCAATAGAGCCTCATCTACAAATGAAATTTGACTGTGTTTTGAAATAAGTTGCTAACCTGCAATGCGTGACTTTCAATATGCTAAGCATAAGGGACAAATCTAGGCACGTTGAGAAGATTATCTTTTCCAAGGGCATTAATTTCATTTTTTTCTGATAAGATGCAGGTTCCCCATCAAAACTCAAGCTGATCATTTCATAAGGTTGATCTAAGTGTTCTGATCATGTCCAGAGATTCTAATGAGAGTGGGGAATTTAGCAATTAAATTTCAAGGCAAAATTTCACATGACTCTTAGTGAGTCTTCTGTGTAGCTCAAACTGTCCCTCAAGTTTCCATCCGTTCTCTCTCAACTCCCGGGAGCCATCAGAACACTTCTGATTCCTCTGCTACATGAGACATTTGACGTCAAGGAATCCTGTCCTTTTTATACCATCCTTGTCAGTTCCTTTGCTCAAATGTTCTGCTTTTTGCTTCCCTCACAGCCATAGCTGATTTTAAGTAAACATTAGAATTAGTATCTCCAAGTCTTTAAAATTATATACTACCATTACGTCACAGTTGCTTCTTTTTAACCTTGGGTACCTAAAAATATTTATATTATAGTATTACAGCCAGGAAGAGAAATTTTACATTTTTATTTTGAATACAAAATTATTTGCTTAACCTTGCCTTCTTTATCTATGAATTTATCTTAGCATGTCAGCATCATGTCTTTGTGCTTTCACTTTGTATACAGGAGGATCTGAGTAAAATAGGGACAGATATAAAGTTCTATACTTTTCCACCAGTAAACTATCACACTAAGCCTGTTAGCAATTCTCTTGACAGTAGGCTTTCCATTGCCAATTATCCCACCCTGTAGATATATAAACAACTGAAGGAGTTTAGATGAAAAGCCATCACAATAGGCATTCAACTTTAATGGAATATCAACTGCATAGAAACTGCATATATGAAACTCAAAGACTGAACCTTAGTTACTAAGTGTTTGACACTCTAAAGAGAGAGTTTAATTTGAATACATGTAAAATAAGAAAATAAGTTAAAATGAGTCACCACACTATAGACATTTGGGAACATGGATTGATGCATGTTTATGAAACTCTAAAATAAATTGTTGGTGATATAATTATTTAGAGAAAAGTTAAAAAGAGAATTATGGTTATTGTTTTATTTGGAACTACAAAATTTGTAAAAGAAGAAGTAGTACTAAAAGTGTCTTCGTGACAAGAAACATAAGCTCCTCAATTTAGCTGGAATAGAGTCTGGACCACGAAAAAACAAGGACTCTGTGTGTGTGTGTGTGTGTGTGTGTGTGTGTTTTGGACCTGTGATTCCATGAGTTTTTGTGGACATGAAAGACAAGTAATATGTGATTTTTTTTTTGCCAGTCCTTAGAGTTTGAACTCTAGGCCTAGGTGCTATCCTTGAGCCGCTTTTGCTGAAGGCTAATGCTCTACTACTTGAGCCATAGCTCCACTTCCAGCTTTTCCTGAATACTTTATTGAAAATAAGAGTCTCACAGACTTTCCTGCCTGGGTTGGCTTAGAGCTGTGATCCTCAGATCTTAGTTTCTTGAGTACCTAGGATTTCAGGCATGAACCACCTGCACCCAGCTCATAATCCATAATCTTGAAGCATGACAAAACAGCTATGGTATCAAAAATGTATATTAAAGCACAGCTTGTCATGTCAAAGATAGAGAGAATTATTTTCTCAAATATAATTGGAGATCCACTGGATATGAGGGTAGGGGGACCAACAGTGAAAATTTAGTTATTGTGTAATTCTATTTACTCAACTGTAAAGATAATTGACAAGTAATAGAAAATATGTGCTGATGAATACTATTTGGGAGATTTATTACAGTGAAGAGTTAGAGACATGGATAGAGAACTCAGAGATTTCTTCAGTTTTATGATGTAGGGCACACAGTGTATTAAAAAATAATCAACAATCTTGTGATAAGTATTTGAAGCCAATGATTCTTTCAGTTTAAACAGAACACACTTAGATTTAATATGT